TCAATCAGCAGAGTTCCACAGTCCCCAGTGACAAGCCTGCTTTACTTTGCAGGATTATTGCTGGGACTATTACTATTGCAGGACTATTACACATAAGAGTGGCCAGCTTCAACACTGGATTTCAGAACATGGTGGAGGGGCTTGAGGGGGTGTGCAGATCTGAAGTGTTATTCTCAGGGGGTTTAATAGAGAGTGAAATAAACACAGAGAGTCTAGAGAGAAGACTGATTTTTGTGAGCAAAAATTATGAGATTTGAGGAAGAAAAGAAGTAGAAGAAAAACATGAAAAAGAAAGGTGGTAAGGAAGAACTTGGAGGAGTAACTTCAGAATACTAACTAGTAAATGCCATTGGCAAAATTTTTACTGACATTCTCTTTTTTTGTAATTTATTTATTGTTATTGTGATGGTGATATACAGAGTGTTTACAGCTATATAAGTCAGATAAAGAGTACATTTCTTTTTGAACAATGTCATCCCTTCCTTTTCTTTTTCCCAGTTATTTTCCTCCAAAGACCTCTTGTTTCTACTTCTTAGATTTCATTTCGATAAATATTATTTTATATGATCAAATGCACATAGGTATTGTGCCTATGTGATCCTCTCCCAAGAATATCCTACTTTGGTCTCACTGTGTGTGAAAGCCTAGAAACCCTAGAAACTTTTTTTTTCTTTTACCTTCCAGTATGTTTACTTGTAAATTTGTAGGCACATTCTAGTTACCACAAATGTGGGAAACCATGCAACATACGTTTCTTTGGGCCTGGCTTATTCCATGTACCATTCATAAGGAAATGGAAGGACTTGGAAAATTTCTTACCAGCCTCATTATTTTTGTTGTTTTTCTGCTAAGCCAGAAAAAATAAAAAAGAGTTTGTTCATTATTGTACCTCAGAGAGAAGTCTCTAAATCCTATTAGAGAGTTGAAGAAGACAGTAATGAACACAGAGGTGAACATTTGAAGACTGCTCAGAAGTCCTCCACCATGAAGCCATGATTTGGGCAGCAGCATCTGTAGGCATGTAAATCAATGACAAGGCTGACGCAGCCCATCACTATGTGTTGGCAGAACGTGGTTTTAACAGCAATGTATATAATAAGGCTGTATTTGGGTCTTCAGGCAGATCCCACCTAGTAAAGGAGTGGGGTGGTAAGAGTTACTCAGCAGCAGAATAGCATATAGTAGGTATATAACTCCTTTGGGGGTTGGAACAGGACAAGGCAGGCATGCTGATCCTGTGAGGACAAGGGCTTAGGAGGCCAACCCTGACCAGTAACATCTGTCAGAGGAACAGATGGTGGTGACTGGGCCAGCCTGGGTGGTGCCTGGGCCAGCCTGGGCACTGCAGCAGCCCTGGCAAGAGACCCAACACTACCCATGGCTAGTAGTTAGGGGTTGTTTGCTCAAAAGTTACTTAAGAGTTTCAGGGTCCTGTCCTCTAAACTACTCGTATACTCTCCACTTTGGACCCTAGAGCTTTTCCTTCCATTTCAGTTGGTGATCTCCATAAAAAATAGCTAATTACCAAGATGTTTGTCATACCTTGTAAAAAGGCTTCATTGTAAGTTATTCATCGTTCTCTAATACTTTAAAAAATAAAAACGTTGAGGTTTTTTTTTTAGTAAATACAAAAGTAGAAGATCAGGGTAATGAATCCACATTTTCAATAGTTCCTTTTCAGTTACCAACATTTCAGTTAACAACTCTTCTGGCTTAAGAATCTACTCTGATGCTTTTTTTCCTATTTTAAAAGCAATTTCTTAACATTTTATCTTTTAAAAAAAACAGTATTATCTCTAATAGACAAGTCTTTAAAAAAAACAAACAAACTACATAGTTGTATCAACCAAAATTAGCAATATTTACTTAAGATCATTTAACACTCTCTCAATATTCAGAATTCTCCAGGTGTCCCCAAAATGTCATTTTGCAGTTGATTTGGCTGAATCAGACTCTAAAAAAAGTTTGTATATTTCATTTAGTTGACGGGTTTCTCAGCTTTTCTTTTTTAGGGGTGGGAGTATTTTCTAACTGTTCTCTCTTCATTTGTTTTCTTAATACAATTTCTTTGTCGAAGAAAGTGAATCATTTGTCTGGCAGAATTCCCCACATTCTAGATTTGGCTAATTGTAGCCTTACAGTTTTACATGATATGGTTCTCTATTTCCTACTTTCCTGTAAACATATTCTATCTAGAGGCTGGGTTTGATTTAGGTTTGATGTTCTTTCTGGTAAGAATACTTCATAAATGGTACTACTATATGGCATCAGGAATCTATTTGTCTGGTTATCCTACTTTTAATGATAATAATATTGATTAATAGAATTCACCTGCTGATGGTTTACTACATCATGATGGAGCTATTTAGCTATTTAGGTAGCTTTCTTGGTTTTAGCAATACAAAACCTCATTCCAAAAGCCACTGACTTCTCTTGAGATACAGCCATTTCAGGAGTGGCCAGCTTAGTTATGGTTAATTGGCCTTCTCAGGGGTACTGGAAGCTATTCATTTATTAATGCTCTAACGTGGAGCATAAAATCATTGATTGCATAAAGGGAACAAAATTCTCTGAAATATCAAAACTAGCTATAGTGTTTTTGAAAGTAGGTAAATTTCATACCATTATACCTTGATCCTGTCTCACTGGATTTTTTTTTTTGGGGGGGGGGTCCGGTCATGGGGCCTGAAATCTGGGCCTGTGCACTGTCCCTCAGCTCTTCAGCTCAAGGCTAGCGCTCTACCACTTGAGCCACAGCACCACTTGCGGCTTTTTTTTTTGTTTATGTGGTACTGAGGAATCGAACCCAGGTCCTCATGCGTACAAGGCAAGTGCTCTACCACTGAGCCAACTTCCCATCTCCAAAAGTTGAGTGTGTTTTTTGTTTGTTTGTTTGTTTTTTGCTGGTCGTGGGGCCTGAACTCTGGGTCTGGGCGCTGTCCCTCAGCTCTTCAGCTCAAGGCTAGAGCTCTACCACTGGAGCCACATCACCATTTCCGGCTTTTTCTGTTTATGTGGTACTGAGGAATCGAACCCAGGGCCTAATGCTTGCAAGGCATGCACTCTACCGCTGAGCTACCTTCCCAGCTGGATTTTTTTTTATTCTATGTGAGCTTACAAATAATTTCTCACTATAGATTTGAGAATTCAACTTATTATAGAAGTAGCACTTCAAATTTTTATAATATGTTCTAGTAATTCATAAACTAATATACATGACATTATGTCAGCTCCTGTTTTACATAAGTATTAGTTTTTGGTTTGGCAACTCTGAAACAGGCCAGGATATCAGTGGCTTAAATAAGACATTGGGGTCAATTCTCTGTTGGAAATTTGTGAGCTGGTAGACAGTTGGGAGAGAAGGAGCAGCTGGTTCTCTAAGGTCATTCAGAAACAACCTCCTTTTATCCAGTATCCTAGTCTAGGGTGGAGTAGCTTGCTTGTAGTAGAGAAGCTAGCTGAGGCATGGGAAAGAAAAGAACATGGAAAAGCAAGCTACTTTTAGAAGTGTTTCTTGGATGAGACACATGTTAATTCTCTTGCAGCCCATTGAACAGGATGTAGTCATGTGACTCATATTTACAAGTTAGACAAGGAAATATAGCCTCTAGCTGGGCAGTCATGTGTTTTTGGATAATCCAGGAAGAAAAGAAAGACTATAATGACCAATTAGTACTCCTTACTAAACCCTATCCCTCAGTTGCTTCATCTGCAAAATGGAGATGACAATACTTCCATCTTGTGGCTGTTAGAATGAAATGCAAGAATGAATAAATACAATGTTTGGTTTAGCATCCTTCCCATTTCAGGCTCTCAGTAAACTGTTCTGTTTATGAGGAAACTGTGGTTTCATGTACCAGAAAGAACACAGGTTTGGGGCTCATGGTAAACCTGGGTCTGCGTCATTGTGGATAAATGACTGAGGACACATGGAACCTAACCTCTCTAACCCTCTATAAAATAAACATTAAAACATTAAACACATGGACATTGTACAAGACTTGAGTGAAAAGGTGCATAAAAATATGTAGTGGAGGGCTGGGAAGGTGGCTCAGTGGTAGAGTGCTTGCCTTGCATGCATGAGGCCCTGGGTTCGATTCCTCAACACCACATAAGCAAAAAGAAAAAAGCCTGAAATGGCTCTGTGGCTCAAGTGGTAGATCACTAGCTTTGAGCTGAAGAGCTGAGGGACAGCGCCCAGACCCAGAGTTCAGGCCCCACTACCAGACCCCCCTCAAAAAATGTAGTGGAAACCAGGTCCTGGTGGCTAATGGCTTGCCAGCCTAGCTACTCAGGGGGCTAAGATCAAAGAATGATTCAAAGCCAGCCTGAGCAGGAAAGTCTATGAGACTCTCCTATCTCCAATTAACTACCAAAAAGTTGCAAGTTGAATTGTGGCTCTAGCCTCGAGGGCAAAAAAAAAAAAATCTCAGGTACAGTACCCAAGCCCTGAGTTCAGGCCCCAGAACTAGCAAAAGAAAAACAATGTAGTATAATTACCTAGTATATGGACAATATACAGTAATAGATGATAGATAATTGCTCAGTAGTCAGTCATTTTTTAGCATGCATTAGTGCTGGGAAAGCTTATTAGGAAGATTGCTGTCAAACTATATAAACTGGTAGTGTCCAGTCTTTTAGTTTGAATACCTAGACTTTAAGCCTAGGCCAGTGCTTTGTAAGAAAATCTTTGCAAAGTACAGGTACTGAATCACTAGAGATGCTCAGTAAAAATTGCAGCTTTCTGTCCTTTTCCCTGACAAGCTCTTAGATCTCTGACATTAGAGATTGAATCTCCACATTTTTAAATAAATATATCCAAGGTGATCTTTATCATGTTGCAATAGATTCGTCACACTTGTTTGATGTATTTGAATGCTAATATAGTACTTAGAAAAAAAGAGTAACTCATTTTGTCTGTTTTGTAAAATGAACCAAGACAAAAATCCCTATGAACAGAGTTACAACTTAAAAAAAATGTTTATTTTGGATCCTTTTAGTTATTACGAAACCAGAGATTTCCCGCGTCCTATCATCATGCAGTGGAAACTGTTGTGAATATGCTGATGCCACACATCACTCAGAAGTTTCGAGATAACCCAGAGGCCTCTAAGAATGCCAATCATAGCCTGGCTGTCTTCATTAAGGTGGGGGCTTCCAAGGGAAAAGCTGTCAGCTGTGATTGTGATGTGTTTTTTAAGTAGTTACCTAACATAATGACTAGATTAACTGTTCTAGTAATGTTGATGACGTATTTTATGCTAAAGGATAAGTTCTTTAGTAAATGCTGATTTGTACTCAAACCTTAAGTTTTAAAGAACCTGAACATGAAATCATTTGTGGGTTGTTTCCTCCACAGAGATGTTTTACCTTCATGGACAGAGGTTTTGTCTTCAAACAGATCAACAATTACATCAGCTGCTTTGCTCCTGGAGACCCCAAGGTAGGTTGTGTCTAAGTCACATCAAAAATCCACCTGTTCTTCTCATTCTCATCAGAATATTATTTCAGTCCTAAAAGCATAGCTCACTCTCCTTGTGGAAATACATTCATGTATGTAAGATATTAGGAACCTAGTAATCAGAATGAGAAATTAACAGTACCCATTAGTTTTTTCTAAAATACCTGAAATGACTTCTTAGCTGCAAAACTAATAAATCACAGTTTATTTAGCAAGACAAAAGAAGAAAACATGTCACATTTCTAGTGGAATTACTTGTCTCTGTCCTTTTTTTTTTTACTTTTTTTTAACGCTTTAATGATGTTTTAAGTTATATCAAGTTTATGTATGCAGTTATAAGCTACTTAAAATCCTTTCTTGAAGTAGAATGAATATAAATAATAAATGGCCTAAAAGACATTGTTTAATGATATCTGTTCTTTTTTTTTGGGGGGGGGGGTCTGGTAGTGGGCCTGAACTCTGGGCCTGGGCACTGTCCCTCAGCTCTTCAGCTCAAGGCTAGTGCTCTACCACCTGAGCCACAGCGCAACTTCCGGCTTTTTTCTTTTTGTTTATGTGGTGCTGGGGAATCGAACCCAGGGCCTCAAGCATGCAAGGCAAGTGCTCTACCACTGAGCCACCTTCCCAGCCCCTGAAATCTGTTCTTGATTTTCAAATAAATCCCTGAAGCCATTCTAAAATTCGTAAAATGAAATTGAACATGCAGTTTCCAAAGGCTAAAGGACTGAGTATATTGTTCCTAATAGTTTTTTTTCAACAAAGCATCCAGTGAAGTTTTAATTGATGACTAAAGTTTTTTTTCCCCCTGCAGACCCTATTTGAATATAAGTTTGAATTTCTCCGTGTAGTATGCAATCATGAACACTATATTCCTTTGAACTTACCAATGCCATTTGGAAAAGGCAGGATTCAGAGATACCAAGGTAATCTGTTTTAGCTTGTTTTAATTTTTCATAAGATTATGCTATAATGTCTTAGTTTTTAATTTATTAATCAACTTTTTCCTGTTAAATTTCGATTTCAAAAATTATTCATTAAAAATTCTTCTGTCTAAACAATAGAAATCTACTTTATTCACTTTAGTTTGTTTCACTTTTGATTTTTCTTATTAATTAGCTTTTCTTTCACCAGCTTTGGAGTCAAATGACACTCCTGTAGGTAGGTGTGGGATGTGAGCTTGCTTTCTTGCATTTTCCTCCTCTAAAAGAAAAAGAATGCAAGTGGTTGCTGAAATGCTTGCATATGTTATTCATTTAGGCATTTCTGTGTAATTCAGTTTTTAAGCTCATGACAAACTGGTAAATTTGTTTGTACCAAAACTAAAACATCCCAGGGAGCTCTCTTGCTCATGAGATCACTAGATTCTCTGGGATGTTTCTAAAAGAAGTAGAACAAACAAAAAGCTCTATTTCCCTCCAAAAATGCATTATACCATTTTCATAGCCCTTGTCCACAGTGGTAGCAATAGTTTACCTCAAAGCAATGTGGCTTACTCACATGCTTTTTATGTTTGCATGCTGAGTTTCTTTTCTTCACTCAGTCTGTCGAGTTCAGTCTGTTAAGTAATATTTGTTGAATTTAGTGCTTAGCGTGCTCAGAATTTTTAATGCTAAAGGATGCTACCAAACTATTAATGATACTCTGAAATTCAGAAGAAAACATACAAAGTCATTTATTCAGACATACAATCCCCCAAACAGATTTTACTGACAGAGTCAGCATTCGTGCATTCAGCAAATACTTACCCAGCACTAGTTGTGTCTAGTTTTGGGATATACTTGTAGACAACCTAGATGGAAATCTTTGGACTCTTTATATAACCGAAATACACAGATAGTTAGACACTGATAAATGCTAAAGAGAAAAAAAAGAAAGCTTGGAATGGGGAAAAGTGACTGTTAGGATAGCTAGATAATGGGCTGGACAAAGTGAAGGCTTGAGCTAAATAAACCCACACAGGTCTGAGAGAAAGTTTCCTGGGCTGAGGGAACAGCCAACATCAACATCCAACATTCAACATCCAACCTGGGTCCACCTCTTTCATCACTTACCCACTTTTCTTCACATTTTAGGCATATCTGCTTACTTGCAGCTTTTCACATATTCATGCCTGCCCTTGCCACCTCTCAACCACAAAGAAACCCTCTCCCTGGTGAATCCTCCTCTTCCTCCCTAGTAGTCATGTCACACATGTTTATGGGGGCTTCCAGGGGCTCCTCACATTCTTCCCTTTCCCCACCAAGAATCACTTGCTCTCCTGTGCCCTTCATCCAGATGTTACCACACCCTCTGTCACTCAAGTCATTTGTACATTTCTAGACACTGTTTTCCTTCCCCTGGATATGGGCTAAGGACAGCTCTTCATATCCAGTGTTTGGGTAGAGAATATGTTTTCATATATGTTGTATCCTCTGATCTGCCCTGCAAGAGCCTGATTATCTTCTAGAACCAATTGAGAGAAACAAGCCTTTCACGTGCCCCATAGACTCGAACCAGTTCAGTGGATTTCCAGGGTATCTAGAAGCAAAAAAGATAATTTGTCCTGTTACATGGATGAGAATAAATCTCTTTTCAGCATTTTCCTGTTTTTTTCACTTGCTCAGTCTTGCCTTCCCTTTCACATACACACCTACACATACATATATACATATGTACACGCTATCACAGGGCCATAGTGAATACACAGTTAAAACATAAGTAGTTCTGTTCTGAGAGACTTATGTGAACTCAAGCTGTGAGCTGTAGTTTGGATCAACTGAGTATAAGTATAAACAATTGAATATGTTTATTTGGGGAACATGAATATTTTCTCCCTTCTACTAAAGAGGTTGAGGTTCATAGAGTCAAAGGAGGGTTTGTAGAAGTTCTTCTAATAAGATGTAAGTATTGCAACTCATGCCCTAGCTTTAGCTGCCTGCAGCTTTAGAGTACTGTTTAACTGCTTGAATATACAGTCCCTCTGCAAAGTTCATGTTTGTGACTGTCTTATCTCCAGAGGAGCGTTCAGTTTTGTCATGTAGCTTGTCATTTAGCTTATGGTTGAGTTATTAGTTTGATTTGGTGCTTTTTCTATTTCTGTTTTAGCTTACATTTTTAATATTATATTAATTTTAGAGATACAGAAATATTAGGACATTTTAGGAAATACTAAAATAATTTTTTTCATTTAGTGAGAGCAGAATAAATGGAGTATGTGCTCATTTGTTAATTTAAAACACATTGAAGTTTTTGTCTGGTTGGTTTGGTTTGGTTTTTGTTTTGTTTTGTTTTTCCTGGAGCTTGAACTCCACCTGGGTGCTATTCCTGAGCTTTTTCATTCAAGGCTAGTACTCTGCTACCACTTGAGCAACAACAGCTCTACTTCTAGCTTTTTGGTGGTTAATTAGAGATAACAGTTTCATGGACTTTACTGCCTGGGCTGATTTTGAACCATGATCCTCAGATCTCAGCTTCCTGAATAGCTAGGATTCAAGGTGTGAGCCAGTTACACCAGGCTAACACATTAGGTTTTATTAGAGCTATAAAAAGCATTTATGACCAGAGAATGGATACATTTGTTCTTTCTTTTCTAAGGGCTTTCAGCACTACTGCTTTCATTTTGTTTCTCAGGCAGGGCATTGTCATAACTTTGCCTGAGCTGGCCTTAAACTATGATTCTCCTATCTCTATCTCCCAAATAGCTTAGATTACAAACATATACCACTATACCTGGCTCTTATTCTTTCTGTAATACATGGCTTTGTGTATAGATTACTCTTTTACAATTCTATTAATTAGTACAATAACTTTATTTTTAATTTTTTTCATAATAAAATGTATTTATAAGGTATTTTTCTATATTCTAAAAATTGTTACTAATCTCACTTATATAAGATACTATATTTTCCAAAATTCAAAATCCATTATAATTTGGTTTTCATGTAAAAGTTTGATGTGTTCAAAAGCAGAGCAGTAGATTCAAATCAATCCTTTCTTTTTTAAGGCCAGATATACAGAGTAGACTGAACCTAGAAGATAGGTTTAATTTTTTATTTTATTCATAAAGCACTGGAGTCGCCATAACTAAAGTAATTTCTACCATTATTTTAGATCTCCAGCTTGACTACTCATTAACAGATGAGTTCTGCAGAAATCACTTCTTGGTAGGACTGTTACTTAGAGAGGTGGGCACTGCCCTCCAAGAATTTCGAGAGGTCCGCGTGATTGCCATTAGTGTGCTCAAGAACCTGCTCATAAAGCATTCTTTTGATGACAGATACGCCTCAAGGGTAAGATGTCTCCAGGGGGAGGAAGTATTTGATAAAGAAATAAAAAAAATCATGGTGACAGCACTAAGATTTTGTTTTGTTTTTGGATTAAAGTCACATATCAGTATACACAGAAATTTTTCATATAAAAGAGATATATATAACTCAAATATAACTCAGACTTCTATTCGATTTCCAGAGCTGTAGAATAAACTTACCCTCTGTGTCTTCATTTCAGAGTCATCAGGCAAGGATAGCCACTCTCTACCTGCCTCTGTTTGGTCTGCTTATCGAAAATGTCCAGCGAATCAATGTGAGGGACGTGTCACCCTTCCCTGTGAACCCAGGCAGTGTACGTAAGCAGAATTACATGGATACAACCTAAATTGTGTTTGGGGGCTACCATAACAGAATAACTTAGAACAGCAAAAAATTCTCTCTCACAGTTGAGAGTCTAAAATCAAGGTGTCTTCAGAGTAGTGGTTACTAGTAGTCCTCAGTGTTCTTTGGCTTGTGGCTGTATCATCCCAATATCTACTTTTGTCTTCACATGGAGTTCACCCCTGGAACAGACCAACTGGTCTGTGACTTAGTTGGATTTAGGCTTCTCCTAGTATGACCTCATCTTACCTTCTACTTTAATTACATCTAGAAAGATGTTTTCCCGCCTTCCCTCCCTCCCTCCCTCTCTCCCTCCC